GGCTGGTTGTTTCCTGAGGTGTTTGAGGTGACAGTGTGCAGCACATGTTTGTGAGCCTCTTAACTGCAGCCTGGTTCTAAACATTCTTAACAGCAAGATAATGAACATCTCACTTTTTGATGCTCTGAATAATGGGCTGATTCGGATTAATGAACTGATGTTAATGTAATATTTGCCTGTATTTTTCATTAACATCTAATTTAGTAATCACATTGTACTTTAACCATGGCCACTGTTGTTTATTGGTATTGCATTTTATTTATTGTATGCTCAAAGGATCATTTCAGTTTATTAAACCTTGGATCTTATTTTTGTTTTGTCCATTTCCATCAGCAATAATAACTTTATATACATCAAGTTAATTTCTAGGATCTTAGAATAACAATCACCTACAGGTTTGCCAAGCTCATTTATAAGTTAAAAACAACTCTCAACTAAAGGCAAAAGATTGATGAAAGACTTGGATCTTTGGTGCATTTAACCAAAGTTTGGGGGGAACAGATGTTTTGGCTATACTTTCTTCAGTGTTCAGGAATGACTGTTGCACACTGATGAAGGCATAGCTGAAACGCTTGTGCCTTTTTCCCCTGTGCTGATATGTGCATGATGAAAAATAAAAAAATAAAAGGCAATTTTTTTTTGACGGTGCCTTCTTAACCCTTATTTGAAAGAGAATCTAAAGGCAAGTGGTAAGATTATTTTCTAAGCCGTCCACTGTAAACATCCATCGCAGTCACTGTGTGCACAGTTTGCCTCTGTAAAGAGCCACTGTAGACATTTCAGGTGTGCTTACCCCCTGATTTCACATCCAAACAAAGTAGTTTAGATAATCTGACTAATCTCGATGAGACCCTTGTGCTTCATGCTCCCAGCAGTGTCTCAGCATTTCAAGATCTCATGAAATCTTACTATGAAAGTAAGATCAAGTTAAAACATTGTGGAAACAATGGGCGGGGGGTGGGGGGGTGGGGGTGACTGTGGTTCAGTGCAGCCGTCTCCCAACCTGAGGATTGGAGGGTTGAATCATGGTGCATGCAGTCCATATGGTGAAGTGTCCTTGGGCAAGACACTGAACCCCCAAGTTGCCCCCGATGGTTAGAGCCATCAGTGTGAGTTGGCGCCGCAGATGGCTGCCTCGGTTCTGTACTGGAAACAAATTCCTTATGTGTGTAACATACTTGGCCAAATAAAGGTGATTATTATTATTAAACAAATATATAATTTGCCTGTACGTGTGAATGTGAGTGTGACTGGTTCTCTGTCTAGGGTGCACTCCGCTAACTCATCCAGTGTTGGCTGGCATTGGCTCCAGCCCCACTATGACCTTTCTAGAGGATAAGCAGTATAGATAATAGATGGATGGTCCTTTATGGGTATCGAAGTACTTTACATGGTGGTATCGCTACATTTTTTTTGTAAAGCATCTGAAAATTTCATCCAACAGACACAGGTATTAATGGAGAAAGAAGACATTGGTAGGAAATATGCAAAACCTCCTGTAAAAAGTGATTCTATGTGTCTCCATCTAGGTTTGAGGACGTATTGGAATATGCTCTCTGCATCTGTTGTTCATTTTATAACGATCTGACCCAATCTGATAGCGGCTAATGAGTGTGATTACTTTAGAAGCTGCTAATAACTGTAGCTATCCCCCTGCCCCCCTTCATTTCATTTCTCTTGCTTTCTTCTGTTCCACACATCTCTTAGCTTTCTGACTTTGTGTGCCCTTAATATTAAATGTGTAGTCCCTGAATCACCCCCGCTCCCCCATCAGCTATTATCCATCACTAATGACAGTTTGCAATGTTACAAAATGTTCTGCTTAAAGTTGAATTAGTTGCAGTGTGTGTGTGTGTGTTGTGACAGGAAGTGTATTGTCTAAATGGAAGTACTGCACATAAAAAACACCTGAGTGGGTGTCAGACTGTAAATGACAGTTTATACCACTGCCATAGCACTGAAAGCGATGTTTTACTCTATGGGAACATTTTCATCAAACTTGAGTCTGTCTTTCTTTTCACAGCCATCGTTCACTTCCTCTCTTTTCTGATGACTGAAAACAAACAAAATGGGTGTAGGACATATTTCTTTGGAACAGGTTTTAGATGAGGTTTTCAAAATGAAGGGTAAAATGTTGTGCTGACTAGAAGTCCCTAGAGTAGCCAGTGTAAATGACTGTGTACAGCTATGTACACAAAAATGCAAATGTTCTGCAAGTGAACGATCGAATGATCTCATGGTTCTTAGTATTCTTATTAACTGAGATAAATAGGGAAGTTCCATTTGTGTCAATCGACATCAGTATTTCTTTTTGAGATGTAGTCTATATTATTTTGTGTTAATTAGACCTTGTAAATGCCACAAGGTTTCATGTTGGAACATGATGGTATATGAGATGAATGTGCATGAGAGTAATGTATCAACATGCCTGTAGCAAAGCAGTGGATATACAGTACATAAACACGTGTCTATCTGTGTATGCTAGGGAAGATATTTGTCAGTGCATGAATGACTGTGATAAGGGTGTGAGAGAGGGGATGGAGAGCAAAGGGGAGAAGCATGGAATCAAGGAAAACTTGTGTCAAGGTTGTCACTCTTTTCCCCTTTCTCAGAGTGCATGTTATGCTGTGATAAGGTTAATTAAAGCCACATACCGAATAGATTCATGTGCACACAACTGTACTGATGAATGTAAAGCACAAACTGAACCTGCACTGACTGTACTGGCTGAACTTGAACAGAAGAAGTAAATGCATAAGAAAAATCCTGCAGAGAACAGTCAAAAATGAATGAATGATCTCAGCTAAGGTATGCATTCATAAGTCTGACCTATAAAGTGGCTTGTTCACAAAAGCAAAAAAGATCACCAAATTGAGTCAGCACTGCAAATATCCATTAAGAATAAAGACTTCATATGCATTTAAACATTCTGGTGTATTATTATGTATGCATATAAACAGACAAGGACATACGCAAATGCATACAGAAGTGTTGTGTGGGTGTTGACTATAGATCTGGAGCAGCATGCGTTCACTTATTGTTTTGATAGTGGTTTTGGCTTATGTATATGTTGTCCTTTTGCCTGACTTGTTTGTCATAAACACACATGCGTGCGCACTCACT